ATAAAATAGAAAATGACTTTATGGTCCCACAATAGGGATATTGTGGTGTTACAGCAGCAAAAGATTATAACAAAACTAATACAAATGTGCACATTAAAAAGTGTAATATAAAAATAACATATTTACATTGTTTTTACAATATAAATACCATATGGGATAACCCCTTATGGAAGCCTGTGTCTCAGTGAGTTTATTTATACCCTAATACATTGACAAAGCTATGAGAGGGAGTGTCAAAAGGGACAAAAGCCTCAACCAACATGTACAGTACTGTATATGAACCAAAGGGAAAATTCCAATGCAGTAGTCAACAGCTGCATCTATAAGTAAAAGCAGTTTAAGAGAGCTGATTTAATTGGTTAAATAATCTTAAAAATAAACTGCCCATAAGGCCATCTTAAATAGGCAGGGACACAAGGAGTCGTGCTCAATTTACAATAAAATGTATGCATTATTACAGGGATAAAAAGATATTTTTGATTTTTAAGTCTTCTCTTAACCTTTTTAAACCTGGAATTAGGTCCATTAGCTCACCTCAACCCATCAACAAATGCATAATCAGTTTCATCTGTATGTCAGGTAAAATTGACTTTTTAAGTTTAATCCATGTGTTGGTATATTTATAAAGGATATGGGAAATTGAGCACATTTAACAACAACATGAACCACTCTTATTTCTCTTTCTGCCTTGAATTTATTTTTAGTTTATCTGCTTGAGGTAATCCTTTCATGATAGAGTGACATGGCTTCAGAGAGAGAGGCCATTTTTTAATGCAGGGAGCTCAGATTAGCATTTTAAGACCTCATGCTCACTGCACAGCATTCAAAGAGACCATTCCCCTTCAAATTTTAAATAATCTTGACTTGGAGACTTAATTTGTGAAGTGTGTCATTTTTGTGAAATTTTTGTATCATCCCCTTAGATACGCAGGGCACAGAGATGGCTATTCCATATAATGTTGAACACACCTGAACCGGTCAACAATTGCTAAAAGCTGTGAAGCTTGATATGGTGCATTGTGTTTGAAGTACTATTATATAAATACCAAGCATTTCTCTCTGTTTCATCATACTTTTATGATAAGCTGAGAATTGATCAGTTACTGCTAACTGCATTTCCTCCCGAATAACATCTGAGAGATAACCCTCTTCTGTCTTGCTATACTAATTTTGCTCCTCTCCAAAAACAGTAGCCTGCAGGTCCTAATTGCACATCATGTTAAGCAACTATCCAAGTGACATAAATGCAAGTAGATGAGAAGCAGAGCCATGAAGGAAAGCTACTATTTGTATAGATTCATGCAGTTTCCTTTTAAATCTGATGTCATGGTAAAATCAGCTCATTTTTTCTGATGCTGCCTCGAATACACCTGCAGGCTGGGAGACATAATGGAGGCAGCCACACAGCTCCAAGCAGCTGCCATTGGTTTGGATGACTGGAGTCTAAATACATAATGCTCTTAAGTAGCTTAATGCTAGCCTTAAAGTGCTTTGGATTATCGTGACAGTAATTGGAACCAGTTCCCACCTGTTCTTTTTTTACACACACTCCATTAGATTAGTAACAATTTGGCTATCGTAAGTGACAGTGGGTTTTCTGGAACTGACAATTCATGCAAAATTTAAAATCATTTTCTATGCTCTCAGCAGGAGAGCCGTAAACTCAGCAATGCTGACAACCGGGGAGATATTCATGAGAGCTTGTGTCAGAGACATCATAAAGGCATCAAAATTATGGCATCAAATCCCATAGTTGTTAGGATTATGAACATTGCTTGCATTGCATGTTGTTTACTTGATATACTTAATTCAATTATTGAGACTGAGTCTCACATCACTAGATATTTGTGGAAGTGCATATCCTACAGTGACCTTGTCTAATAACCTTACCCACAGCTCCCCTTCCTAAAAGATTTAAAAATCAGACAGAAGTTTGTATCTATTACTATATGGTCCTTGGTCAGTTTAACATGTACATAGTGTAATAATATTGTGATGGAATAGCACGTTTAACTGTGTTATATTATTATTGACACAAAACCGTGAACCAAAGCTTTGTAATATAAAACAAAACAAACAATAACAAAAAAATATGTCAACTGTTTAACCGAAGTACTGTAAATGTGAATACTCTTATTACAGTTATATCAAAACAGTTTTTTTAGGGGAGGAAGTTTTGTCACAGCTTTCAAAGAGAAGTACAAGCAAATCATATTAGGTGCTTAGTTGAAAGGGATAGTTGTAGGGTAGTAATCAGTAAGGTTATGCTTATCTAAATGTCTCTGCTAGATCCCTCATAGAATCGTAATTATACTTTTTTTTAAGCATGGCTATCTTAAGGTTAATACACACTGTTTAATGTTTAATAAAATCACAAGTACTGAAAAATCTCAGGATTTGCTACCTTAATATGATTATGCAGTAAAATGCTTGCCTCTCTCAGCTATCCCTGACTGTTATCTTATAAAAAACAAAAACAAACAGAAAATACAGTGAGTGGAGATCTACCTTCTCCTACAAACAGTTTATCTTTCAGGGATAAAAAGGTTTCAAAAATTGCATTAATATTATGGTGAAAAACAATGTTATCGTTTCTTTTTACTGTATTTGCATCATCAATCTCTGTTTAATGCAAAAACCCTGTAAGTACTGTATCTTCTCAGTGGAATGTTTTTTTTTAGTGAGCTAAGAATGTATGCAGCTTATTTGTCTGTCCAGCAGTGATGGATGCACAGTGGTTTGTCAAAGGCCCAACTCCTGTCATTCTGTAGGTTGAGAGAGGTCAGTCTGCACAAACTGTTGCTAAGGCAGAACTGTGTAGAGTTTTCATGTGGTGACTATGTTTTTTTTTTTCCTTAGGCTTTCATTTAGATCATTTCAAAGATCTAAATTTGTGTTTCATACAAAAATGGAAAAAGTTGGCTTTGTGCAGCAAGATGTGAGGGAGGTACCCATGCATATTGTTCGACTGGCCCTTTCTCTGACATCTCATTAAAGGGACCGAAAACCTTTGGAATGCCCTTACTGGGATTTTCTTTTTGCCTTGTTGGAACGATGTACAATACATAGGAGCAGCAGCAGGGCCATTCTCCTTTTCTTTTTACTGCGCATCAAAGCAACAGTTTTTTGTTCATCAAAGATCCCAGAAACATGTACTTTCATGATATAAATATATTTGGTTCAAAATCAAATATGTTTAAGTTCTTACAAAGCAGTAAGGATTTGATATTCAAGTCAAACAAGGCCTCTCTTGGAGTGGGGTAAATGATAAAGAGAATAAAGCACATGTCTGAGATAAAAGGTATCACAACTCTGCTTATCCAGTTTCCTCGTTCTCTCAGGTTTTCTTATCTTTTTCTTAGATTCTTTGCCAACTCCAGTCAAAGTGATTTTTTTTTTTATCAATTCCTTTTCCATACTAAATAAACCAGGTACTTTCTGCTTACTTTGCAAAAGTATAAAGAATCTGTACACTGGGGAGAAAAAGGATAAAAAAGATATGTTACAAAAGAAATATTTAGAATTAAAGATTGAGAAAATAATAACATTGTAAATTATCCAAGTTCCTCTGCATAACCACAGTTGCTATTAATGTGAATTCATCCTTACATTTCTTTGACTTTTATATATTTTTATTTGAATGTATTCTTTATCTAATGTGTAATTTAAAAATGTTTGTTTTAAATTAGTTTCTGTTTCTGTATATGAAAAAACAATGTTTTCTTTGGCCTGGCAAATGGCACAAATTCACGAGTTTCAAAATCAAGAGAAGTAAGACTCAAACATGGGAATTGTTTTGGCTCGGCTGCATGATGAGCTTAAGGGGCTTTGTTATTGAAAGCTTTGTAAATATGCAAGGCCTCTAGACACTGCCAAGCTCAAAGAAGTCATGTAATAAATCAAACCTAAAACTAGTTGCCGTTTCCATAAGATGAAATATGTGTTCGGCTCTAAAGTCATAATCTGGTATTCATCTGCTATTTCTTCTGTAACAAGTTCTTACAAATTAATAAGCAATGTCCACTGTTTATGAGTTAAGACAGCTTTAACAAGAAATCAAAGTTATTTCAGGGATGTGCAAGAACAAAAATGTCAATTAGATTGTATAAAATGATCTAAATAAGACCAGCCTCCTTACTTTAGGCCCTAAAGTTTAGGGTGCTGTCAGTATTAAGTTGTAGTTTCTTGAAAACAGTTGCAACCATTTGTTGACATGAAGCGTCCCAAACTAAAGTCAAGTCCTTTCAGTAAAACATTGTTTCATTTTCTCTCCCTGTAGGCCACTGATCCAGATGCTGGAGCCAACGGTCAGGTTTTCTACAGAATTGTCAATCATCCGGATTTGTTTCTGATCAGTGCCAACGGAAGCATCTACACAAGACAGCCTCTTGACAGGGAGTTAAGGAATGAATATAACCTGGTGATTGAGGCCTCAGATGGGGCGGTAGACCCTAGAAGAACCACCCTGACACTATTAGTCCAGGTTCTGGATATTGATGACAACAGCCCAGTCTTCTCACAGCAAGACTATGTGGTGAATGTACCTGAGAACACCCCTGTCGGGACTGTAGTTCTGAAACTAAGTGTAAGTTTTCATTGTCAAAGTCACTATTTTTTTTTTTTCTCTTGGATCTTGCTCTAGCATTTAGGTTTGTCACTCAGTGTTAGAAAAATAAAGTTATTCCAAAGGGTAACATTTTTCCCTACCAAAATACAGTGTTCTTTGAGAGACACACGTTTTCTCTAACCAAAGTCAAATTTTTGACAGAACAAGTCCTAAAGCTGTTATTCATGAAGCAGTTGAGGCACATGATGAAGCACATCATACTTCAGTAGTTTGATCTATCTTCGCTGGCAAATATCACCATTGTTCAAACCCCCCACCCCGCCCCAAAAAATAAAATCTGGCGTAAACACCGTGAAATATCAATGCAATCCTTGCTCTGAACTGAGGAAAAGAAAAAAAAAACATATGCATGTAGAGCAAACATTAGCAGGGGGGGAAAGTAATTGCTGGCATATTGTGAGTGACATCTTCTTGATAGAGATACAGCAGAAGGTGGGGAGAGGAAGAAGATGATGAAGGTAAAGAAGATGAGGGGTTTGAGTGACAGTGGCAGTGTGACACTATCATAAACTATACAACAACATCTCAACTCTAAGCCAACACCGGTGGCAGGTTAGATATTTGCAGGGCAACTGGCAAACCAACAAGACTCAGACATAGACTGGATTTATATAAGCAGTAGCAATATGTTTTTAAACTGATGTAAAGGTGTTTGGAGGCTTATATAAAATGTATGTACAAATAGTATTTAGTTATATATGTTTTAGCATCATGTATGTTTCTTTTAAGTTGCTTCCTTTTTAAAATGGTTTCCAACTTTTTGTGGAAATGAATGGCAAACCCTTCAATTGGCTTTGATTAGACTAAATATCAGGGTTTCTGCCTAGAAAATAGTTCATTTTATTTGAAAAAAAGTAAGATTATTTAAATTTCTTTTAAACTGCTCCTGCAGGAACAGTGCTACTTTCAGCAAGTCAGAGTATAATGGGATTTTATCAATTGTAAGGACTTACTGCACAAACTAAAGCTCATTCTATCCACATTGAGGAAACTCAGTGTCGCTTCCCAGTGTTGCATACCTAAAAGGAAATAAAAGCATATTAAATCCGTCAACCCACTCATTGTTCACGTTTCATGTAGCGTAGCTCAGCAATGACTGTCCTTCCTGATCTCCTAAATCTGACATATCTCATAATTATGACATTTCTGACAGTATCTCTTAATAATGAGATCTTTTCTCATCATTACGAGATACTGATCTCGTAATTATAAGATTAGCTGTCAGATTTTTTTTTTTCTTTTTTGAATGCAATACGCTTCCAAAGCTTCCTATACCTTCCTTTACCTTTCTTTTTATCGTTCTTTTATAATTGTCAGGTTGGTGGTGTGCCAAGCTAATAGTTGTCCTGTAGACAGGTTATTCTGCTGAAGATGTACAGCTCCTCCAGGTTTTTCATTGACCTCCTGGCAACTCCGACAATTAAGGCTGTCCCTGTTGAACCTGTCAGTTTGAATGCAATACTAGTTGCACCGAATGTTCTTTAAGTTTTTCAGAGTAAAGAGTGATAAATAGGAATTCATGGGACATTTTTCCCTTTTTTAAATTGATATTCAATTTCAAAAGTCATCTATGTATTTTCTTTTACCTCTTTCTTTCAAATCATTCACTACTATGTGGTGGCCTTTCACATGAAACACCCCAAAAGTATATTGACACTTTTGAAAAAGGTCAAGGGATAAGAACATTTGTTGCATTCAGCTGTATATATTCTTAAATCGGTTATATCAAATCTAAATTAATTTTTTCCTTTTTTTTTTATGTTAAACAATTATAATATCATGATTCCTTTACATGTATGATCCCTATATAAATATCCAATGCCGTAGTAATGTGTTACTTTTTGCGGACCACCCCCAAAAATGTCATTATAGAATTTATTCTTATATTACTCTTTATTATTAGAATTCATGGATGTGATTTGATAAATACATAGTTTTATAATTCTCAAAGAATGTATTTGACTGGTTGCTCAAGCATTTATGTTGTTATCTGTCTAAATAAATGTATAGTCTGAAAAAACAGTGTCAATAATTCAGATGTTCCCTTGGTTATAATAACTCTGGTCTCTGCAGGCTTAATCTCATAGGATATTGGATTAGTCTTTGGAAATCATACCTACTCTGGGATTTGGGATTTCACTCAATGAACTTTAGTATTTCTCAGTGGCTTAATTTAATGAGAATCTGATTAAGGAATGATTAGGATAACCCCCAGAGCTTAACTTCAAAATTAAAACAAAACCCTTTCCCTTTCAACATCTGCTTTTTTGCCCATATATCTCCTGTGTTCTACAGTACTATATCCCCTGCATCTCTTTTTTTTTTTTTCTTGCAGGCTGTGGACGCCGATGTCTTCTCCAATGTCACATACCGCATCAAGACTGAGTCGGCCAGGCAGTTGTTCTCTCTTAACGCTATCACTGGGGAGCTAGCTGTGCTGCAGACCCTGGACTTCGAGGGCCTGGCAGCTATGGGAATGGGGGCTTCATACACTTTCCAGGTAGAAGCTGTCGACCAAGGAGGACTAATGCCGCCGGGACAGGCTACAGTCACAATTCGCATCACAGTAAGAAACTATAAACTGTCAGAGGTGCATTACCTCTCGTAGTGTTATCACCCACCCCCCACCCCCCCCTTTCCTCCTCATTGTTGCTCTGGAGATGCAGCCTTGATAAGAGACTATGCAGTGAGTCATTAGCAGGATTGTGCAATAGTAATATCTTTCAAAGGGCGCAACACAGACACCATAATACAAAAGTGAATTGAAAACATTACACTACTGCAACTGCACTGTCGTTATAAAATGTCACTCACTGCAATGTATGATTGAATAACCTTTGTTAAACACATTTTTTCCCTCCTGACCTGCTCACCCATACTTCTAGACCTCAAAAAGAGCTCTGATGGTTTGGTGCTTCTGCCTCACATGCACCGTTATTCACATGCTGAATGACTCATTAACTTAGTGACAGCAATTATGCTGGGCTCTACAGGAGCTTGTCTTTCCTTTACAGCATTTTATAAACTGAGCAAACAAAAGGGCAGTGTAGTGAGAGTGTGCAAGTCTATTTAATGTGTATTTTCACTCTTGATTAATTCTTTAAAGTGTGAGCACATTTATTTCTTTTCACAAATTCAGTCTACCTTCTTCAGGTTTTCAAAATTAGGTTGTCAGTATTGCATCAGATGATTCTTTTTTTCAAGCAGGATGTCTGATTAGGTAAAGGAGTGGCAGTGTCGTTGATACCAAACCAATTTCTGCCATTTGAAATGACAGTAGAAAGGAATGAGTCTAATGGATTCAATTTAGCCTCTAGGGGACTAAAGATGGAGTTGATTCTACGGATTTTACTTCCTTTTTCATATAACACCTCAAGAGAGTTATTTGAAGTAATTTTCCTATCTGTTCTTTTATGCTGTTGATGTTATCTATTTTATTGCATTGCTAGGTGAGATGGATTTGTTGTAGAAGTGTGTTGCTGTTCTCAGTGAGTCTTTTAAATTCCTTTCAGTGCACTATCTGTCCCCAAAAGAAATGTTGGGGATTATGTATGTACAGAGTTGTGATCAATGTAGTGCATGCAAATCGGAGATAAACACTTATTCCACCATAAACAGATCTTGCTTAAATAGCGAGCTTTTTTGTTCAAAAGATAATCTTGATCATGGATTTTTTGCTGCCAAAAAACAAAAACTGCGTAAAGATCAAAGTGAAAGACTATTGCCCATGGCTCTGCCTCATAAGTCGAGAATATCTAAACAACAGAAATGAAATCTATTTATTCTATAGGTTTAATTATTTCTTAGAGATGTTTGAGTTGCTTCCTGATTGTTCTTTTTTTTTGCATAGCTAATTAAGTGTGTTTTACAAGATGTTTTCCTAACTCTTTATGTATTGTTATGCTAAGGCTTACACACACACACACATATATATATAATCAGGTCTCTAATACCTACTGAACTCTTGTAACTTTTAAGATTTGTTACTTTCAAATAAAACTTGTAAACCTTTCATGTAAACCTTTAGCTATTCAGTATAGTATCAGGAAAATTATTTTCAAGTAGGTTTTGCATTTTTAATTGTGAAATAATTTAGGTCCTAGAAATCTCTTACCAAGCAATTACTAAATATAAATTTCAATATCTGTGGTTGGGTTGTTGAAGGTTTTTTTTCTTTTTTTACAATGAAACTATTTACAAAAGAGCGAGAGGTGAAGTTGATCTGCTGCACGCAGGTACTGATTAAAAATGATGCCATTATTCAGGATGGAAAATAAAAACCTAAAATGAATGTATGAATAAGCTTCCTAATTGAATTAGAAAGCTGTTATTTGTTTCTAGGCTGCATGCCCAGGGAAAAACTGTAGATATGCAAATTGCTTCCATCTCATCGTTATTGCTGCAATGTTAGACCCTTGATCTTCTTCAAACTGTCTTGATTTTACAGCTTCACTTTTAGAAAACACTTACTGCCACATACTGACATATTGTCTTACTTAAAATGTCCAACCTGCCAAATAAAGACGACATTGGTTCCTCTGGGTTATTTTTTTTATGTAAAACAGTCAGATTATTAATCTGTGTTAATCATTGCATCATTTGAACACATGCTAGTAAGAATAAAACCTTGATTTTCACTCTCTTTAATCTTTAAGTAATATAGTCACAGAATATATTGGGTATTACTCCTAGACCGGTAAACAATTATCTAACTTTTCTGTAACAATATTTTTTTTTTCCTCACTGGTTATTAACAATTGTATTGTTTAATAAAAAAAATATTGGTTATGGACTTCATCAAGTATGAATTACGGAAGAACATGTATTATTTAAATTTAGATATTATAATATATGTTCTGAATCAGAAGCTAGAAAGCGTAGAGTTCAGACATCTGACAAGCAGCTCATTTCTTTCAAAAAGTTAAGTAATACTTAGAAAAAAATCTCGAAACTGGATTATGGTCCAGCTTCTGAAAAAAATGTAATATGTTCTAGGCTGTGTTACAAAACACCTGTGATCAAATTAACTTACAAACAAACCAATACCATCAAAAACTTTCTCTTCTTGAGATAGGAAAGAGTGAAGTTCGGTTTCTCTGGAGTGAATTTCTTTAAAATGCTTGATTTACATCAATAGGTTGTGAGAAAAAAATATCAGTAGTTCCTGTTTTTCTCAAACGGAATATGTAAAATATTTTGGTACATGGGAGACCCGTAGTGAGAGCCCCTATGCTGATGTTAGCCGCTAAACGTATATAAAAAAACAAAGTTTCGTACGAAAGGAAACAAAGTCTGGCCAGAAATGTAAGAGCACTGGTTTATTCAAAGAATGAACTAACCAGCAGACAATGTCACAGAGGAAGCAACCTTTGAAATTAATATTAACTAGCTAACATATTGATTTATTGGCATATTTTACCTTGTCATCATTTAACTAACCAGACTTATTTCCAAACAATGTTACACAACTTAGATGGATTGTTTGGAAAAAAAAGTTTTTTGCTTCTTGCCGCCTGGTTTGCTAAACATCCTGATGCTCACGTTCAGCTCAGCATCACGTCTCATTTCAATCTTCTGCCTTAACATATGTAAGCTTATGGTGCTTTCAAAGACAGCTGAGAAAAATAATTTACTGCATTCACTGTTTTAATGGCTAAAAAAATTGCAGGAGACAGATATGAAAAGTGTGGGGGACTTGTCCCACATGAACCCCGAGACCATTACACGCAGGCATATATCCCCCACAAGCTTACTTTTTTTCCCTCACTGAATAATCTGGAGATTAGCGGGAGAAACTGAAATTACTCGGCGGGAGATACCATTAAAAATCGTGAGTCTCCCGCATAAATCGGGAGAGTTGGCAAGTGTGGAACACTGTACAGTTATAAGCGCTTCTTTAGCTTTGAGTATGGGAATCATTTTTCAGCATGACACGGATGCTGCTTACTAAGGAACTAGGGCTGAAAGAGACAAAGCAAAAAAAAAAAATATCACTTTCAAAGACATAACTGCTGCAAATATGGACCATCCTCACATAAAGCATGATTCAAATATGAGAAATGTGGGTGTTACATCCCCTTATCCCCCATTGGTGCAACAGCGATGCCCACATACACTGTACAATTAAAAACTTAGAATATTTAGTAGGCTGTCGGCACTGGACTCACCTAAAATTACTTAGTTTAATTGACGTAGGTTTTACGATAATGCTTCATGTACATACTATTTTTCTATTTTCATTTCCAATGCCTTTTATCATTTTCTATTTCAGGACATGAATGACTTCTCACCCATCTTCACTCAAGAACTGTACAAGGGCTTGGTGGCACCCAATGCAGACAAAGGAACAGTCATCACAACCGTTTTTGCTGAGGACCAAGACCCACCAGTGAGTTTAGCCCACAGAATAATCCAGAATGCATCTGTATTTTTTTACATCCCTTGCATTGATTTTAGTTGAAATAAAGGAAGGTAAATTATTCCTTGCATTTGCTTGTTGCTGTCAGAAATGAATCATTTTCAATTAGAATATGTTACATAAACCATTTTCAGGATTTGTTCCAAACTGCAATCCTCTTATTGGAAATTCATGTCAGTGTGTATCTTAACTTTGCTCTATTCAAACTGCAAAAAGATCTTCTGGTGCATCTTTACTTCTATGAGTCATCCACTGATTCTGAGAGTGCTCAGTGCCGTGACATTCGCCTAAAATGTTTTCGGAGGCCATATCAGTCTAAATATCTAACCTTTAAACTTGTTTATTTGTGGCTTTTCCAATGTTAAAAATAAGAAAGAAAATGCCTCTTCTGCTTTGAGTCAGGGTTTTTTTTTATGTAGTTTTGCATGACTGGACTCTGATGTTATTAGTTGCCCTCCTGCTGGTTGGTTCTTGCCAAGCCTGAATAAGCCTGTATTCTCTCTGCTGCACATGAATACTAAGGGAAATGGATGGTTGTCAGTTCTAGCTGTAGGTGGTAGAACATCTCTACAATGTCACTCTGGCTGTTGTTCATCTGCTTTATCTCAGAAGTAGGCAAACTATCCTCCTGCTCGGCCTCAGTTGTAACTCCAAAAGTTTCCTGTTTCCATTTGAAATTGCTAGTGTTTTCACATTTTTATCTTAAAATGTGAAAATTTAAATAGGAACAAGTTGGTGTAGCACAAACAACAAAAAGAAGAAAGTAAAATCATATATAATCTGACAAAATAGTGATTTTCAATTAAATGCAAAATATGTCAATTGAGGTTATGAAAAAAACACCCTAATGCTCTTAATCAGGGTTTCCCAAAACACGTCAGACTTTGACTCCATAAATAACATTGCAACAAACTGGCAACCCCCTAATAATACATGTAAATACTTTACTCTGTATTCAATTTTTAAACATAAAGTGAAGTAATTATATTCAGTAATTCAATAATGCATTTAATAAAGTACATTTAATTGTTAAATGTTTAATATTTTTGCAATTAATTATTGGGACATTTAGTTTTGACTTTTACAATTCATTGGAATGTTAAATACTCAAATCATGTATTAGATACATAAATAAATAAATGTTAAATGAACCAATGTTATGTTACTTTGCCTGTTTTTAGTGTAAATTCACGCTGGCTACATCAGAATATCATAAAGGAGAAACACACAGTGTTTATATACTGCCTTCATTTGGCTGTGCAGTCTTTTGTTTTATGTGTCGGCCGGTAAGTTGCATGGTTGAAGAAAGCACAAGTGCAATTATGCAGATAGGCTTCTTTCTCAGGAACCAAACTCGACAAATTTTCTCTAGAGGTCATGTACAACATACAGATGGATTCTTTAGTAGCAAAAAGCCACTAGTAAGACATGAGACTTGAACCTTACAGGACCATATTAGAATAAAACAGAACATGGTTGGGAAACTTATATCATTGGAGTCTGTAGGAATACTTTCAATTACTCATGAGATTAATTTTAGAACTTTTTAAGAATAATTCAGGATTTATCATATTAGCTTTTGAACCTGTGTAGCAGAACACAGAGAAAACCTCAATCTATATGTATTAGTTCAGTCATTTTTTTAAAATAAAACCAACATAAAACATGAGAAAAGAACAGCTTTTTAAATTATTTATATATAAAAAAATTTAAAATAGTAATATTGAAAATAGAGAGTAGTTTGTTTTTTAATTTTTGGTTTCCCTACTTAAGTGATCTGGAGAAAACTCTAGGCTGAAAAAGCTCCTGCTAGAACAGGATACAAACTCTACACTGAAAAAGCTCCTGCTAGAACAGGATACCTGGCATAGAGCACATCTAGTGGCACAGAGCAAAAGAAACAAGAAAACAGTTAGTTCACAGTTATATTAACAAGTCAAAGAACTACTCCTGGCAATGGAGCTGCAGGTTGGAGACCCCTGGTCCACCAAATTAAAGCACATTTCAATACGAATGAAGCTAAACTTAAAAGACCACGAACAGTGTTAAAGTGCATAAGTAAGAGCGTGAAGTAAAAAAAAAATATATATATATATGTATGTATGTATGTATGTATATATATACTGCTTGGTTTGGTCAGCATAGACCTCAGTGGGGACATTTTTTGATAGACTAGTCCAGTAAATCAAAATGATATTATTATGGATGGTGTTAAAGTGCAGGCAAATGGTCGTTATAATTATCTAAGGGATTTTTAAATAGACATGGATATTATGATGCATAAGGGTAGCCCCTCAGGATAAAAACACAGGGCAAACCTGCTTTTCATTTGCATAATCCATTTCAGCTCAAGGAAGTATGTTTCTTTTTATATAACTACAAATATTGAACAGTATCTTTGCACTTTTGTTGCTAGAAGTCTGTTTTTTATAGTAAAGGTAGGTGTTGTAAAGAATCATGCCAACTACTCTTTCTTCCTTTTTTCCTTCTTCTTTTAGGGCACCCCAGCCAGTTTAGTGCGCTACAGAGTGGACCTGGAGAAGTCCCCCTACAGCGGAAGCATCTTTGATGTTGAGGAGGAAACTGGCAGAGTCATTACCAAAGTCAACCTCAATGAAGACCCAAGCATCACCTTTAAGGTGAGCTGCTATATAAGTGTGTGTGTGTATCTATCTATCTATCTATCTATCTATCTATCTATCTATCTATCTATCTATCTATCTATCTATCTATCTATCTATCTATCTATCTATCTACACACATACAGTGCCTATTTGCCTCCCTTCAACTTTTCAAGTTTTTGCCTCATTTGAGGCTTCAAACATAAAGACATAAAAGTGTAATTTTTGTGAAGAATCAACAACAAAAGCGACACAATCATGTAACTTATTGGATATTTTAAACTTTCTTAACAACTAAGAAACTGAAGAGTAGGACATGTAAAATGAATCATCCCCTTTACTTTCAGTGCCACAGACTTTCCCCTGAAATTCAGTGAGGATCTCTGAATAATCTATTGATGACCTAAATCACTGATGATGACAAATACAATCCACCTGTATGAAATCAAGTCTTCTTATACAGTAAACGCACCTGCTCTGTGATCGTCTCAGAGGTCTGTTAAAAGCGTAGAGAGCATCATGAAGAACAAGGAGTACACCAGGCAGGTCTGAGATACTGTTGTGGAGAATTTTAAAGCCTGATTTGGATACAAAAATATTTCACAAGTATCAGACCACTCCTAATCTACGAAGAGCCGGTCATCCCTCTAAACTATCAGAGAGGTTGCCAAGAGGCTCATGATCACTCTGTAGATATTGCTTTATGTTCATTCAATGGAATTGTTCACAAATAAACATGTTTTTCTTAGTATGTCAGTAATAAAAGAAATAAGCTACATTTGGGGACTTAAAGGTACCTGTGGGTACCATGAGTTATTTTCTTGTTGTGTGGGTTAATTTAAGGACTGAGTTGTGAATTAAGTTGAGCTTAGCTTTAAGGTAAGGTATGTTTTGGTAATGGTTAGGGCAAGGGTCGGGGTTGTGAATTTACATCTTAACCAGTCCATCCTTGTAAAAGAGAGTCCAAATCTCTATAGATTTCTACCCTGGATACTATCAAGGCTAGTATTTTATTATCACTCTGGTCAACATGCTACCTGAAATAAGGTTTGTTGGAGATTTCCAAAATATTAGCTGTGATATTCACAAATTTGAGAAGTGAAGTCAGATGTCGAAGGGAACAAATGTGCTATTTTGGGGGTTTACATGGAATGTGAGTTGAGTCATAGTAGCTATAAATAGCACAGAAGGAGAAAACTGTGATTGTTGTAGAAACAATGTTTTCTTCAGGTTATCAGTGTGATATGGAAAAGTTAAAGCTTAAAAAATTGCCTTAGGTTGCTTATTTATTAACAGTTTAAAGAGCCTCAGATATATATAGGAATGTAAAAAAAAAAAAAAAAAAAAAAAAAAAATATATATATATATATATATATATATATATATATATATATATATATAGGAAATGATAATGATATAATGCAAAACAGTAAACACTTCATTATTAAAACCAAAATGCATAATATTCCCACTCACGTAACATAAAGTTTTTTACTAACATGATGTGAGCTTGTCTTAAACATTGTAAACCAGTGTTTAGTCATCAGTAGATGCTTGGGAACTGTTATAAACTTGCTTAAGAGGGACTAGAGAAAGAAATCGGGGTCACGTGTAAAAATGAGATAAACTATGAGAAGTAAACTTTCTTTAATGCTGCATTGAGGAATTGCTGCACAATACAGCTGACTGCACATGCTCATCCAGAGGGAGTGAATGCTGTAAATCAGTGACTATGCAGCTGGAGGATTTTCTCAGATTAAAAACATGTTTTATGTATCCGTCTGAATAATTTCACATTTTTTTTCGAGTGCCTTGAGATGACATATTGTGAATTATTGCTATATAAATGATTTAAGTTATATAATTTTTTGACAGTCATGTTTGACAACATGATTAGACAACTTGGGCAGTCAAAACACTTACTTTCGGCAGATTTGTACGTAAATTCAAGTTTGTTAATTTGATTTAAATCTGTACTACTAAAACCTATTTAGAAGGAAAACAAAAAGATCTTTTTTTAAAAAACTGTTTTTATTTATGTTTCAATTTAGGTGTTTCAAATTTAAAATATTGGAACTTCTTCCAAATGTAATCAGAGCCCTTAACTTCCAAAAAAAAGCAACCATAAAAATGATCATTTGTGAAAATGGTTCAGTGAAAAAGCAAATACAGAAAAATGAAAATTCCCTTTAATTAAATCCACTGTCCCAAACATGTGCAGGTTGGCTGATGATATTAGAAAGAATTTTAATTGGAATAAAGCTCTGGTGGAAACAGAGTCGGTAAGGGCAGCCAAATTCCTAAGCCAGCTGGATGGTCAGTGGACAAAAATGAGACACAAAGACAGATCATAAATAATTTCTATTTAAGACACACAAACACATAGGTAGAAAAAAACTTTGTATCAGATTTAATATATAGTCCTAATTAATAGAATATAGATAATGTAGTTTCTAAAGGTATTGGAAATTAAACCGGTGGACAACAATAAAAAGATTCCAAGATATAAATATTTGTTAACCATTAGCCCAACACTAAGTACACCATGCACTATAAAATATTTATTACCTCAAATGATTTAATGGATTGTTGAAAAACTTTAAATTCAGTTACAATAATTTGGAAATCCAATAGCTCAAATATTGATATACCCCAGTTACATATGGCAGTTATTTGCTGATGTAAAACAATTACACCATCAAAAAATAATCATGACCTTAGCTTCAAAAAAAGTTGATCAAAATAAAACCATCACTTAAACCAAGCTATATCAGTAAAAAACAGTCAAAATAAAGTGTTCTCCTATTAATTTAAAATGCTGTCTTCTGTCTGCTATGTAGTTGTGAGTTTATTTGAGTGAGGAAATTAGATATGTGTTTCAGGTTGTTAGGTGCCTTTCATTTTATGTAACACTTTTTGTTTCCTTTTTCTTTCACATGTTTATTTTTTCTTCATCTACTCTTTAGTGTACTTTAAAAAATAAGATTTACGCTCTCTCTCTGTGTATCTCTCACACTGCACTGTCTAATGCTCTCAGCCTCTTGCATAACTGCTGAATTTTGATCAGTACAAATAATTATCTCCCTAAATATGCTTTTGCAAGGTTTTACCATTATGATTTTATCAAGATGCTGAACATGCCTACAAAAAAAAAAAAAACACCTGGTAGGAACTTCAAAAGACACTTCACTTTCTATTTAAGCAGTATGGTTTAGAGTGGTGATCATTATGTGTTTGCTTTTTCATGAGTGTATAATTCTTGTGTCTCTTTATAGTTGTTTGTGATCGCCTTTGATAATGGGGAGCCAGTGAAGACAAACAGTACTTTGGTGGAGATCACTGTCCTTCAGCCCTCACTTATCCCAATCTTCACTCAGGAAGAGTATAGGTAAGCATCACAGACATACTGCTGATACAGCTAACTGCTCTTATACAGTAACAGCCATTCAGAATGTCCATTCCCAGTCAAACACCAGCTGGATGGCAGCCTACTCCCCAGAAACTTCCAGCAAAATCCCCTCCAACTTCCAGCCACTGGACTTTTCCCATTTTTATTTATTTTTAGTCTGACTGCACCCTTTCATTGAATTACAGGGTCTGACCAGAAGAGGATGCTTCTCTTTAGATCTTAATGTCCACAAATCATGACATAAAGCATTTTTTAGTACAAAGATTGATGTTTAAAAAGGATTTGTAAGCGACCAACCAAGGGCCCATCAAGGAAAGTGGGGAAATTTTGAATGGCTACTACTGTGCAACGCTCAAACCTTTAAACAGCTTTGGATACACTGCCAGACAAGGGGGAAACAAAAAACTATTGGAAAGAGTGGATAAAAACTCCGTAATATTTTTCATCTGAGGTTCAACTTTCATTTAGCTTCTTTCATAATGTAAATAATATCTAGTTTCCTCATAAACTTTATACTTTGCTTTGAGCTGCAATAAAACCACTTGTCTATACAAAAATATTATGTTTTAATATCGTAGATCTAATTATATGTCATCTTTTATGCATTATGGACATTTTTGGCTCTCTTTTTTGTACAGCTAATCAAACTTCATTCGTATTTTTAAACCAGAGTACATTGTACAATTCAGCACCACTTTAAACCCAATTTGAATATAGTTGAGGAGATAACTCTTCTACCCTCTCAGCCTATAAAGAGTCACTTTTAAAAAGATAAACTATTTATATGATTAAATTGGCAAAGAGAAGCAGATGAGGAAAAGATTCTCCACAGTGCTCTGATATGCAACACACAGCTTTACTGGGTCATGGTTGGGTGGAGTTTTTTTCTCTAATGATGATACTGGAGCTTGGCAGAAAGCAAGAAATGTTTTATTAAATACAAACACATTATTAATATGCCAGTTTAAGCTGCTTGAAAGAAAATATTCTGTGATGAAGCAACAGAACTGATTGTTGTTGGGTATTTTATCATGTGGCTGTAGGTACGATCTACATTACGGGGACTTGTCAGATTTTAAGCTTTTGAGGTCTTGTAGCAAAGTCATCTGGCACATTAAGAGCTTAAATTACAGCTTGCTGTAATTGATTTAGTGGCTTGTGTGTTTAAGAGTTCTGCTGCTTTCTTTTTTCTGTTTATGCATTTAATATGTCTACTGTATCTATGTATAAAAGGGGCAATGTAAGCGTGGCTTAACCTGTCAACATATCACTTCAGATGTTGCATCTTTTTTTATAGCTTTGTATTCTTGTCTATATTGATACCATTAGTTGGATTATGCCTTCTTGATAGTGTATATGTGCTTTTTTCTACCAAGTCGTTCTGCTTTAATTAGAATTTAAAACATTTATTGAAAAAGTATAAATACCAAATGTGAGCTAAATATACTGACAATTAGTTGTAATTAGTTTAAAGGATTTTTAGAGAGTAATTTAAAACCCCTAAAGCATTATACATGTGATGCGTCATTAGAAAAGTGGGAAAAAAGTAGAAAGAAACACCAATTTTTCCCTATAAACTCAAGATATGAAGAAACTATGTATTGGTTTCAATAACCTTTTAATTAAATGTAACCTTTAAAATTGTAAACTTTGTGTTAACACAGAAAGGGTGTTTTTGTTTTGTTTGTGTGTGTTATTGTATATTTGTTTTTCTACAAAAACGGTATACAATATACTATAAATGCGTTGAGAAAATACCATTTTTTTTCATATAGCCGATTTTGGGAGTCTTAGAAACCAACCTTAACATTTTCTGAAAGTAAGCTGCAAACTTGAAGTAATTCCACATGGTAAGTAATTATTAGTTTAAAAATTTATTGAATTTGTATAGTTCTGAGCCATAAAAATGTTCCAAAGGCCAAAAATACTTTTATAGAAGGCATCTCTATCTTTTTAAATTCTGTGTCAAAATGACCTCCTCTGGCAGTTCTAGGGGTCATTGGAATGGGGTCCAGGTTTTTTCCTTTTTCATTTTCTGAAAAGAAAAAAAAAAAAAACTGGGCGAGACTCTTCTAATTTAACCAATGCCACAACAGTCTCTAAGTGACCTTTTTCAAATTAGAATATTTAGAACCTCTGAACCTTCAGAGAGATCCAGACTGTGCCCTTAGGTTTGATGACAATGTTCAATCATAATTCTTTCATTCTTTCATCTTAGACATGCCTAAGATTTTCTCTTTTCTAGCCATTAACTTGAATCAGTAAACCATGCTTTTCTATTGAATATTATGAGTATTTCATGTTTTTATGTGTTTCTACTTTATATTATTTGGATGTTTTATATTTCCTTTATCATGTGCCGTCTAAGCAGGTAGTCTCTTGCTATTATATGTCAAAATGTTAAAAAGGGGATATGAAAATTTTTAAAATGCACTGTACACTTACACTTGGTTGCTAGGTTGTATTTATTAACAAATGCACTGGCACAGCAATATAGCAATTATAAAGCCATTGATTCATACTTTGAAGGTCTGGTCTTTCTGAAGCCCTCGACTAAAATGTTGTGACCATAGGCCCACCCTCTTTGGGGCATCCAACTGGCACAGCCAGCTACACACAGTGGAACGTCCACTATAAATTTTGAGCATGAAAGCATTAGCCAGGTGCTAAAGTCTCTCCTGCTGGATAAATCTCTCTCAAGTGGAGAGTATCCAGTCTGCTTGGATGCAGTTTTTTTATTCCTCTCAATTTCTCAAGATTGTCCTTTCTCTTAATAAAGCACCATTTGAATGTTCATCAATATTCTCCATCTTTAAGGGGGATTTTTTTTCTTTTTGGTGGATTACAAATTCAGCAGCTGTTTGCTTTAGAACAACAAGCAAAAAATTTTCTCAGCAAGCTTCCATTAATGTGCTAGTTGAGTAAAAAGATATGTTACTGTAGATCATGTTTCTTGTGCACTTTGGTTTACCTTTGCACTGAACATATTTTTCTATAAAAAATTTTGATTCAATGCACAAATCAAATTTCAACACTGCGTGACCATCTGCTGGTAGATAGAGGTGGTTAAAGTGTAAAAGGTTGTACTCGGGTAAGAGTTACAGTACTTTATTAGAGGTTACTCATAGTGAGTGGAGAAGTATGAAATTGTTACTCATTTAAGAGCTTTTGTACTCCGCTCATAATATTGCTTTTAAAAGTAAAAGGTTAAAAAAATTTAATGCAGAAAAACTGCTCCTTTAAGTATATATTTTTCAAAATTTCTCACAGTCCACTTTAACTGAAATAATCTAACTACCGTAAATCCTCTAATATAGGACGTGGCCTTTATTTCACTCAGGAACATCTTGGTCCAGGCAATTATTGGAAGGAGGCCAGAATTAGAGGCAAGCCTCTATTTCTATTTCATCAAAACATACTACCAGTGGAATGAATAAAAACAAGATTTTGTGTCTCTTTGAACCTATAAAATAGTAGGTTAATTTTTTGAAAAAGTACAGTTACCATAAAAGTATACAGAACTTTATTCCGACATCTTCCAGCAGCTGCAATTTTTCTGTACGGCACTACGAAAAAAAAAAAGACACAGAATGGAATCTTGGCCAAACTGACTTGCGAAACAAAGCTTTTAAAAAAATTTATGAAACTGTTCTGCAATTTTATTTGAGACAGGCTAAGTAGAACTAGGCTTCCAGTATCACAGTTTAAAGGGAAATTCAGAACAACAAAGGCCAACGAAAGACTGTCATTTTAACGCTGCCCGGTTATCACCAGACCTACCTTTAATCACATCTGTCTTTCAGATCAGAACGATTGTGTAAGGCCACTACGATCTCTGTGTAAGAATGGGACTTCCCATGGTAATGGCTTGAATTCGTTAGCAAACATTGAACCCTGTGTTACTTGTATGTTACTATCACAAGTTGTTGAGGACTGCCCAGAAACATTGTTGGTTTTAATTATAGCCCCGGCCTGTATACGAGTCCGGCCATTATTTACCTCCACCGACAGCGAGACCAGCCATTGTTAGAGACCCGGCCGCTAGTGGAATACAGGCCAGTATTAGAGGATTTGCGGTAGTTAATGTCTACCTCTGCTGTTAGAGAATAATTACTATACGTTATACGTATAACACTATGGATCTGATATTTATAAAGAATCATAATAGGGGCGCTGGATTACATGTGCATTTTTTTAATACATGCAATAAGTGGCCATGTACAGTAATAAGTGGACATTTTGTAGGTGATCTAGAAATATTGCACGAAAAGTTTTAGTTCTCTCTGATTGGTTGATCTCCAGGCAGTTGAGAGAAGGGCAATAACGAATTGTATTCATCCAAGTGGAATATTTTACACTAAAAGTCGAAGCCAAGTGAAGGCATCGTTCTATCAGGGTGCTGCAGAAAATTACTTACAGCAGGTCCTGTTGCAGCCTCTTTCTTGGTTAGATCAGGTAGGTCAAATCCAGCTCTTACTGCTAACTGTGTGCTCTGTGTGAGTGTGCTCTACAAAGGCAAAGAATAGGCTAATAAGAGACCAGTGTTGCATCCAGCACACACACCGCAGTGCTGGAGTGTTTTGACTTTCGAGTTGTTCACATGTGAGTCGACTCAGCTAAATTAAATCAACTCGTCGACTGTTTGGTGAGTGCCCTAGTTGACAGTGGTCATAAAAGAAAGATTAGGTTCCAAGCTAATTATAATACTAAATAATAGTTACAAATGATTTTAAATAGGTAGCCTATCTGTAAGTGCTTAGAACAAAAGTAAATTTCAAAAGGATTGAAACTACCAACATATAACCTTTACTTTTTAAATGTAATTCAGGCCAAATTTCATTTCATGATTCATGTTCAAAACACATAACAGATAAAATCAGGGTTTCATTTTTTTTATCAGTTAAGGTGTGCAGTCTTTCACGATAAAAACTTTTGTTTAACATATTTTGTTTAATATACAAAGAGGTTGATGCAAATTC